GTGTCCTCGCCGGGTCACGGTGCAGGGGCAGGAATGGTGACACCACTCTGCTGATGTCAATCTGTTTCCTTGAGCCCGTTGTGCTGTCACCCGGGGCCGTCCCTTCCCATCACAACTTGGCAGAGCTGCCGCGTATGGAGACAAAGCGCCGTGCGGTGACACGGGAACGTGGACCCGACTGGGTGCAGGGGGGATGGGGACACCAAGATGGATCGTGTCCCTGCCCTGGACACCCCTCATCCCTGCACGTGCTGCTGGTGCTGGTCTGTGCCGGGGAACAGCGACGTTTCTCACTGTGTTTCCGTTCACCCGGCATTTGAACAGGCGCCTTCGCTGCAGTGTTGACTTTCAAAGGGCTGGATCAGCTCCATGGCCGGGCAGAGCGTGGGAGGAGGCTGCCTGTCCTGCTTGGGAAACACAAAACAATGAAGGAGGAACAATGGAGCCTCCTTCCCTTCGCCCAAAATACCAAACGCCACCAAAATGTGGCAGAGCTCCGAGCAGCGCTGCTGGGGCAGCTCTTGTGTCCCCTGGCCTGAGGAGGGGAACTGCTGGAGGTTCCTCCTCTTCCTCAGCCCTGGTAAGGGACGCTGCAGGAGGGCAGGTGCCAAGGAGCATCACCAAAGGGCTGCCCTGACCTGACACCATTGCCAACCGGCATTCCCAGCTTTGGAAACCAGGTTTGGGCCAGGGCAGTGGCTTTGCAGCGTGGCTGTGCCTTGGGGAAGGTGCCTGGGCTTCCCTGGTCAGCTCAGTGTGCTTCACAGCCAGCCCAGGAAGGGTTATAAGAGCATCCACGTATCCAAACTTGCCAGACTGTTCTCAGGGAGAGAATATGTTCATTTGGTACCCACACAGTGCCAAGCGCAGGGAGATGCTCAGCCTGGTTGGCCAGAAATGGGTGTCCGGGGATGGATCTGGATCTGTGTGTGGCTGGAACCCCCAACCTGAGCATCCTCTCACCTGGCCCTGGTGCTGCTCAGGGACACGGGGCTGAGCATCCCATGCGTGTGGGGCTCGAGGAGGCTGTTTGTTGAGCTGTGAGCAGATGGTGCCAGCCCATCTCCACTGGGGCTGCTGGCACCGTGCCAGCCCTGTCGAGGAGCTGCCATCCCCAGTGCACAAGCTCTCATGGGTGACACATCTTTTGCAAGGTCCCAGCAAGCACCCAGCACCCTGGCCAAGCACATCTGGCTGAAAGCTGTGGGAGCTGCCCCGGGAATGAGGACACCAGTCTGGAAATGGTTCCCTCCCGGAGAGATTCCCCCGTCCTGACCAGGCTCCTCTCCCAGCACCGTCCCCGCTCCGTCAGCCTCTTCTCCCAGCCCCGTCCCCACTCCGTCAGCGAGTGCTGGGCTGTGGGGCCTGCAGAGGGACAGTGCCCAGGGCTGCCCCTGCTTTAGGTGCCAGGAGCTGGACTGGAGCTCAGCTTCTGCTGGGAGAAAGGATCACTTCTGCACCTCGTGTTGGTGTGAGGGTCGGATGAGGATGCTGTTGGCACCAGCCAGCACGAGTGGCGTGGAGTGTGGCCGGGCTGGTCACAGCAGAGCCAGCAAGGAACCCCGAGTGAGCTGGGGGGTGAACTGGTTCAAACCCTCCCACTGGACCCTGGTTAAGTCACACACGGACGGGAGTCCAGCTCCCACCAGGGTGCACCATTGGGCACACTCTGGGTCCATACTGGGAGGAAACAGTGCTCAGGGAGGACAAGGGCTGGAAAAGCTCCTTCTGCCAGCACCTTCACCACAGCTAAAGCTCCCACGAGCCTGGGATGGGGTCAGGATGTGGCACCCGGGCTGTGGGTGACACATTTTGCTGCTGTACAGGGCGGGGGGTTCACCCCCCGTGTGCCACCATCCGCCGGGGTCCTGCCGCATGGCTCTCCGGCAGCGCTCCCGCCCCGTGTCCCCCACCTCGACTCGTCTCTATTGTCATCTCTAATATCACACTGAGATATGAAAGGCTGAAAGTTGCCTCTTTCCTGCCAGGTTAAATCGTTCACCAGGAATGTCTTATTATTCCCACAAGTCAACTTTCCCCTTCGCGGTATGTGTCCAGGGGTCAGGCCTGGCACCACATGAAAGCAAAGGGTATTCAATAACCTAGAGCCGTGGAAAGGCTTTAGTCCAACTCCAACCATGTTCAGGGTTTTATTGATGCAGCATGCCTTTCCCCATTTGTTTCCTATAAACAGCACATGGTAATATTTAGTAGGTTTCAAACAGAGCTTTTTGCATATTCTCCCTTGTCTACAATGAGCTATTCGGTAGTAGACAGTTTTAATTTACTTAATGCAATTTTTGCTTTTTGTTCTTCCAGAGGGTCTGGGCTGGTTTTGACCCAGTCGCCCCAGCAAATTACTGCACAACTCCGTAATTCCCAGGGGAGCAGCAGTGGGAGCTCAGGACCCGCTTCCTGCAGGGTGAGTGAGTTCTCTGTCTCACCAGAGGAGGGAAAAGGACCCAGCGTGAGCTCGCTGTTGCAAAATTACCCCCTTTTCACTGCGACGTCAGCGAGAACACGGGGTCTCCTTCCTGCCAGACCCTCTGGGACACAGTCCCGGGGGCCGGGGCTGCCTCAGGACCCAGGTGTGGGTGTTGTTTGGGCCCATCCTGGCCGGTGACACTTGGCTCTTGCTGCCAGCCAGGCAGGTGACATGTGACGCTCACCAGCTCCAGCCAAAGAGAAAAAGCCACTTTATTGCAGAAGCTGATGCTTCCTCGTCCTTAGGGCTGTGGCTGGGGTACAGCCATGGGGGTGCTCAGTGCCTGGGGCTGAGCAAGGCTGCAGGGTCTTCCCTGGAGCAGGGAGATGCCCACTGACACGCTGAGGCTCCTGGAAGTGTTTACACCATTTATAGAGGTAAGGGAGGTGGGAATTCCTGCTCCTGGAGAGCCAGCATTTGCCATTCCTCACCCACACGCTGCAGGACCGTGTGGCCAACGGTGGAGCAGCCCCATGCTGAGCTGGCGTGGATGGGGGGGACACAGCTGCCTCCTGAGGTGACATTTTTCCACTATGAATGACCACAAACAGCGTCTCAGCTCCCCTGCAGCGGGGCTGCCTTGGGCTGGTGGCGGCGGCGAGTCCCTGCTAACGAACGCACACGCACGGGTATTCACGGGGCAGAAAGAGGCCAGTCCTCAAACAAGCAAACATTGACTGTCTGGTTTCCCAGCAGGGCCCAGCAGCCCCCCAGCCCCACTCCCCAGCCACCATCCCTCCGTGTGCTGAATATTGGGCAGGTTTCTGTCAGGCAGCAGCTTTCACAGTCACCAGCAGCCAGACATTCTTGGTGCGGCGCTGCCGTCGCCCTGCCAGCCCTGCTCAGCTGCTGCCCCACATCGGATCCTGCATCACCAAAAAAAAATAAAGCAAGAGAGGAAACCAGAGTTGACACTGGGATTCTTTTAATGCAATTGCTTTTAAAACACAGCCTGAAAATGACTTTTAATGATCAATGATGAGAAATGATGGATCTTTTTCATCTCTGCAACAGGATCCTGTGGCATCTCCACCTCCAAACCCAGCAGCCACCGCTCGTCTTCAATGTCCTTCAACTGCTTTCACAGCGACTGACTGCCCCTTCACAGGACACATGTCACATGGAGCATCCAAACCCTCCCACCAAAGGTCCAAAAAAGGGACAGGGTGAGCTGTCCAGATGACCCGGAGAACCTCAATGAAGAGCAGCACAAGTAGCACCTTTCTCCCTCACCTTACACTCAGGCATAAACCTACAAAGGTATTTGAGCCGCCAGCTCCTGTGGAAGTGAAGAGCTGTTGACTTTAAAGCTCCTAATTATCTCTGTGGATCTGTGCCTTCATGCTATGTAAAGTGATTTGAGAATTGAACATCTGGCTGCATTTTCTGGCTGAATGGGATGGCAGAGGAAGCTGACTTTCCAATATCTTGCTTTTTAAGATCTAACACTACGCTGTGTATTTATTTTCCAGCACAGCAGGTGCCAAAGCTCACCAGTTCAAGAAACATAGGAAATTCTCTTGTAGCCTAAACATCTGTGAGGATACACCCTGGCACCGCCTCAGCACGGCACAGGGTTCATGCACCATCACAGGAGAACGGGCTCTACCTGCTGAAACACCTTTACTACCTCCCAGTCGTTCACTCTGAGTTGTGTTTTTCACTCCATGGACCTGCCATGTGGCCCCTGGGCTGTACACGCTGTAGAACACTGATGCCATTTTCTTTCCTTTTCTCCATTTAAAATATTTCCTGCTGCTCTGTTGCAATTTAATGGTCCCCCCCCTACCAAGAGGGGGGGTCACGAGGCTGCTGGGGAAGAGAAACAGAAAGGTTCAGGCCACAGGGAGCTCCTGATCTGCCAGCGCTGCGAGATGCCACCACTCTGCAACCAAAGGAGCCTCCCAGAGCAGATCCCAGCACTCAAATGTCTCTCCCACACACCCACACATTTGGGGAGATGTGATTTGCATCAAGCTCACATTTTACTAGTAACTTCAGGATGAAATGCAGGAAGCCAGTTTGGTCTACAGAAATGCTACACACTTATCTCAGAGTTAATTTCAAACACCTCTTTTTAAGGACAGCATTGAACAGGACATCAGTGGGTTCTCAGAGCTTGGGCTCCAATTCTGGTACTAAAACATGGATTCAGGTATGAACAGACTGGAGCTCTTCTGGAGTCTGAGCAGTGGTTCTCACACTGCCAAAGGTCACAGTTAGAAACTGAGTGTAGAAAGAGTCCCCAGGGGAATACGAAAAAGACATCACCTTGTGAAAAAGCTTCAGAATGAACCTGTGGAATAAACAGCAACCAGACAATCGTCTTCTACAGAGGATGGAAGTAACAGTAGAAGAATAAAACAACATCTTAAACAGTCAGTCTGAATGTACAGGGGCACTAGATGCCTGCAGATCTGTGAGGAAAGCGCTATAACCCCCCAGATCTGTGACAAAAGCTACTGGCTAAAACCTGCTGGTCCCCTCCAGCCCCAAAGGGAGGCTGTGCTGCAGTTCACTCTTCACCAGCTGGAAGGTTGTCTTCAATCCTCCTGATGAACTTCATTCTTATTTCTGTGACGCTGTCACCCTTCAGTGTGTCCTGGACAAATTTTACATCCACGGCCATCTGAACCTAGGTGATGGAGAGGAAAGAAGAGCTGTTACCAGCTTCTCTAGGAACCATCTGATTGTGAAGAACCAGCTTAAGGACTCTGAGGGCACGACGTGCCACGCAGAGCTCTAGGGGAGCACTCAGTATTCTTCAAGATCACATCCTCCCTGTACATTGTGGCCTACAGTGAGCTCAGCACAGTTACAAAGTGAGGACTTTGAAGCTTCGTGGAAGTTCAAGGAAATGCCAGTGCCTGTACTGGGTCATAAGATGAAGGGGTTTGGGCAGCACCTCACAGCCACCAAACACAATGGCAGCTGAGCACTCCTGGAACTCTGCTCTTCTCCTGGGAATCAATTTCAAGGCCAAAGCAAACAAAGGAGTCACAAGCACAACTAGACACTGAAATATCTGCCGACACCTTGGCTATTCATAGATCTGTCTCACTGGAAGAGAGACACTGGCTCACCATTTCCAGGGCACCTCGCAGCACTCCGCACAACAGGTTGGAATAGATGAGAGATGAGTGGTTGTCAGGAAGCTCAACAAAGTCCACCAAGGGGTTGTTTTCCAAGATCAGGGAGAACTCATCCCCCCCAGGACTCCAGTTGGTGATGCTCGGAGTGATGCCCAGGTACATTTTAAATGCTATCTGTTAAATCAAACAGTATGGACAAGAATACATCCTGTGAAACAACAAGCACAGCTTTGATAGCTGTAAAATTACAGGAGGGTTTTGAAATCACCACGCCTTTCTCCCAGTTCCCACCAGTCAGCAGTGGTCAGGGATCTAATTCTCTCTTTCTCCTCCCCAAAATCTCAGTCAAACTCTCAGAACAGCCCTGTGAGTAGCAAACACTCTATCCTCACATGCAAAACCTGACAAAGCTGTGCTCTGACTCTTACCTTTGCAATAACATCTGCAGTTTCACGGAAATCATGACATCTCCCAACACTGGACCGGGCCAGAAAGTCTTCTATGAGCCGAACCCCGATGTTGTAACCCCTGTGAACGTACCAAAGAGCAACAGCTACAGAGTGGGAAAGCCTGGCTTTAGGGAGAGAGCTGATCTTTATGAAAGGCTGTGAACCTGAGCTCCTACAAGGCTCCACTCACATTTTATCAAGCTGCTTGTTGACATCCTCATCGTTCTCGTAGTCCTTGCACAGCTGGGTGACCAGAGCGCCGTACGTCAGCGTGAAGAGCTCTGAGTTCTAGGCAGAGGCAAAAGAGATTTAACAGAAGCCAAAGTGTAAAACCAACTGAGCATCTGTGTCCAGCGCTGCTTCCTTTGGCTCACAGAGGGGGAACAGGAACCTGCTGTCTCAAAGGAATTTGCTGCTTGATAAGGAAAGATCCCAGTTCATGTTTTGAACTCCAGTCTCCTTGGAAAGAGAAATCCTCTTTGACTGGGAACGACTGAGCACTTCCTTTCTCTCCCTCTCTCCACACACACAGTGTGTCCCATTAACCTGTCCTGCCTCTGACCTGAAGATGCAAACCAGGGGGCTGCTCACCCATTCTTAGCAACTCTCATTGTCAGCTGCCCATTAGCATCTCTCTGCTTTAATGAGGACATCCCTAGATAACTGGAATGACCCTTCCAGGTCACATCCTGTGCTCCTGACCACCTCCAGGACAGCAAAACAGTTGCCAGGGATCTGAATTGATTTCAACCACTGACCCAGAGGTGAAAACTAGCTCAAACTGTCATCTGGGCTTCAAGAACGTGCTGCAAACGGGCAAAGCTCATCAGGCTCCATTTCTGGTCCTTTCAACAGGACAAAAAATGCTCATCCATTTCACAGATTTATTGCATTCTGCTACCAAGAAAAAAGAAGGCTCCTGTGGCCCCCAGGAAGTTATCCAGGCACAGAATCTGCTTCATACATTAAAACCAGCTCCTCAGACTCAGAAGAGGAACAGCAAAGGATGATTTCAGGTCAGCTCACCAGCCACCACGGTCACTGATCCTCGACCTGAAGCAACTACCTCAAAGTGCATTTTCTTGGGAGCCATTAAGTCATTAAAAGCTGCAAAACAAAAAGCTACAGTAGGCTTTAGCTTTTCCCAGAACCTGAAGGAAGTGTTTTCAGGAACAAATTAAACCATCATAACTTATTTCTGCTTTCAGTTTTAGCATTCAGAAACATTAGAGAGTCTAATCTCAGATTAAAAGCCTATCACCTACCATGAGATGCATAGATGCAGAAGGTGAAATGAATGGCAAATACCAATACTACAGAATGAAAGCAGCAGGCAGGCAGGAAAGGAAGGGAAAAGAGACAACATCAGAGTTAAGTGACAACACTGATCTCAGGCATTCTGAAAAAGTTTACACAAAGCCAAAAGACAAAGAGGAATCACTCCCAACAGCAACATTCAAGGAATAGAAATGGGGTTTGTTAGATAACACAGGGAATTCCACCTCGTCATTGTCATGCAGGAGGTCAACAGCAATTAACCACCAAAAGGCTTTAAGCACTGAAAAGAACCACTCTGGGTACTTTGGTCTGATATTAGAGCTGAAGAATTGACCCATTCTTTGGCTTTTTTACTGCCCTGTCTGGGGAAGATGAAGGTTGCAGGAGTTCACATCACTGGGGAATGAGAGTTCACATCACTCAGAGGGAATGACGAGGTGGAACTCTCCCTCAGCTCAACTGGCAGAGTCAGACATCTGGCAGAGAGTTTAAACATGCAGAAAAGGTTCCACTATTTGTAAAGATTTCAGTAATTTTAGTTAAGACAGAGCTTGGCAGCTGGAGAGAGAAGAGAGAGAGGGTGAATGGATGGAGGAAACCCAGCTGCTGCCCGTCCAAGGTGCTGTCAGGCGCTGTGTGGAGCCATGAAGCTGTCACCTACTGTTATCAGCCCCAGAGTCTGCAAACCCAGCCCTGGCTGCAGTTATTGCTATTCAGGGAACTTCAAAGCGTTTTAACAGGGCAAACTTCTAAATTCGGATTTGTAAATGAACTCTTCACTTTCAGTCCATCAAAGGGAATTAAACTGCCCAATACTTTTTCCATTATTTATATTTCCTTGTATTGCAGACTAGTGAACAGTCTCAGCGCCATATAACAGCACTGTGGCTACAAAAATGCCAGAATCCCCATGAAGTAACACCAATTCCTTCCATAAAAGGGATTTATTATATCTGGGGGGTTGGATCTCTAGAAGATAATCCCTCTTCTAGAGGCAGGGGCAGGAGCAGGCAGCTCCCCGGGCTCCCCAGTGCCTGACCCAGTGCTCAGTGTGGCCAAAGAGGGAGGAAAACAGGTTTTATTTTATGACCTGCTTCCAAACACCGAGATTGCATCAGGAATGAACCGGCTGGGGCTGTTGGGAGCAGGATGAGGCCCCAGCTCTGCCGTTCCCTTCTCCAGCCGGACTGAGGCCGCGGACCCGGGTCAGAGAGAAAAGCGTTGAGCTGTCGGGTGTCCACAACCAGCGCGTCCCGTTCCTGTCTGACCCCGG